TTGTAGGTTTTCTTCATGCTGTAAAAAACCTTTCGGGACCATCTTGGTGATATCTGCTCTCTGAGGAACAGAGTAGTGAAAGATGAATGAGAGGATACGTTTTGAGCTGGAAGGAACTTCAGAGGCTGTCTGTTCTGAACCCCTCACTTTCTGCCTGAGGAAACTGATTCAGACAGGTTGAACAGCTTCACATCGGTACACCGATCCCTCAGTGATGTGGGTTCTTGGCCTTGGGAACCCATGAAACAAAAACTTAAAATGAACCTCAGTTTGCAAGGCCCCTTCTTTGTCTACAGTGACAGTGATTGGTTGGTGGGAGGCAGTAAGTTAGGGGGTAGGACAGAAGACACCAAGAATCACATAATTTTCTATACAAGCCATCCAGATTAATGTAGTAACTGAAGATTTTCTAAATGTGAGATTCTTGTTAATTGAGTTGATGTACCTGGAGGAGCCAAATCACATTGTTGCTATGATGTACCCTATGACAAAAGCAAGTTGCTGCTAGATAGAGGCTGACTCGAAGATTCCTTTTGGAGAGGAAGTAGTGGAATGAGCAGAGTTGTTTTCAGCACGTGTCCAAAAGCAGAAAGAGAGAATCGTTTGGCACTTTTGGCCGTCTTGCTTTTGCCACGTTCATTGGGAACATTTACAGAAGGACCACGGTGAAGGTAATTCGCTCCCCACATTCAGTCTGTTGCCAAGTCCTATCATTTTGACCTTCCTGACCTCTCCGTTCTGCTCCTCCTCCTCCTCCTGTCCTCTTCCGTGGCCACCTTCCTGGTGCAGGCCCTCATTACCTCATTCCTGGACTATTGCAGTTGGCTGCTGATTGGTCTTTCCTTGCTTCAGATCATCCCTGACTCAGCTATCAGATCTTCCTAACATCCAGGTGTGACCATGTCACCACCCTCACCCATTCAGCAAACTCTTGCTTGCTATTTACTCCAACAATCAAATATAAAACCCCCTTTTTAGCTTTTAATGCTCTTCCTACCCTTCTAGTCTTATTGTGACTTATTTCCCTCCACGTACTTTATAGTCCAGGAGCAGTGGACTCTTTGTGGTTCTTCGTACAAGACGCCCCATCACCCCAACCCTGGACATCCCTCTGCCCCACAGCCCCCCACCTCCCTCCACCTCTGCCTGCTGGCCTCCTTTCAAGTCTCAGTTAAAGTCCTACCTTATGCAGAAAGCCTTTCCTTGAGTTCCTTAATGTTAATGCCTTCCTTCTGAGATGGCCTCCATCTTATCTTTTTGTATATGGTTGTTTGCATATTGTCTTCTGCTCTAGACCTTGAGCTTCTTGAGGGTAGAGACTGCTTTGTCATATCCCCAGTGTTTAGTATGGTAACTGTCACGTAGGAGGTACTTAATGAAACTCTGAACCAGGGTGGTAGTTGATGCAGTTGGTATTGAAGAGATAAAGAAGATAAGAGTGGGAGTGGATGAGGAAGAGGAAACCTATTATAGCATAAGAGCTCTATTGGCCAGGAGCTCTCCAAGCCCTCACGTTAGTATAGTGTCACCAGCCTGAAGTATTGTTACTCACCGTTTTCATTGGCTTTCCTGTATGCCTAGAATTCTCTCCTCATTTCTTCCCCTTGGCTTCTGTGGCTTCCTTCAAGATCTAACTAAACTCCCACCTTTTAAAAGAAGCTTTTCCCCAATTCCTTTTAATTCTAGTGCCTTCACTCTGTTGATTATTTCTAGCTTATCCTATATATAGCTTGTTTCTCCATAGTTGTTTCCCCCATTAAAGTGTGAGCTCCTTGAGAACAGGGACTGTCTCTTGCCTTTCTCTCTGTCTTTAGTACTTAGCACAGGGCCTGACACATAGTATGTAGGTGCTTAATATATTTTTGTTAACTTGACTTGTGTGCCAGTATTCACTGAAGAAGATGTAGAAACAGAGACATTTTATTAAGAGCTCTGTAAGACTCTCTAAATTAAATCCACATATTCTCAGTGACCTCAGTACAGAGGTAAATATAGGGGAAGATGGCAAAATATTTATTGGAAAATATGGCTTAGGATAATGAAATAAGTCCAAGGATGTAGATACTGAACAAGAGCAGTATGCAATGTATCATGAATGCTTTCTTAAAATTTTTAAAGTTTTCTTTAAAATAAGAGTATGATAAGCACAGAAGAAAATCAACACCCCCTCCCCCCCAATGATATTGACAATATTTTCACATAAAAAGGATCTGGATTCTAAAAGGGAGTCAAGCTATTGATGCTGAAAAATAGAAGAGGGATAACTTGAAAACAGACTGTCATCATTTTTAAGAAAGTATAGATAATGTAAGTCAGTTTCCACAACAAGAAAGACAGAGTCTACAACAACTCCAACCAACAAGTGGAGAGATGGGAGCCACGGGCACCATCTGTCAGCTTAGGATGGAAGCTTGTTTGTAATGTTTTACAGAGGAGGGGGGTAAACGACCACTGGTCCAGTGGTGTCAGGAAACAGCGAGATGGGGGGAGAGAAGAGCAAGTTTACAGAAAACCTGGCACAAGGCTTAATTAGGTCAGGTCACTGAGAACCATATGTAGGACAATACTGTAAAGAGAACAGTAAGTAAACAGAGAAAAATTGGAAAAACTCTTGAGATTTGTCTCCCAGGCTTCATGGGTAAGAGTGGGTACCACAGCATTTGAACTCTCACATTGTGTTTAAAATCTTCCTCTATGAAGTAGAATGGTCACCAAAGAAAACAGAAATGGAAAGAGCATCTGGACCAGATCAAACATGAATAGAAGAGGGCCATGTGGGAGTAGAGTTGGGGTGGGGAGCATTTTGAAGTCATTAGGGGTTAACTCTCAAGATATCTGAAAGAGGGGAGGCTGTCAAATACTTAGGGAAAATACTGAATGTTATAAATTCAGTTCAGCAGGCATTATTAGCAAGTCATTGTGCAAAGGCAAAAACAGTAATCTCAGCCTTCGAGTAACTCATGTTTAAGAAATATGAAATGGGAAAAATAACTTGAAATGTTTCTATTTTCTCATTTCTACAAAACGTTGGAAGCTACACATGTGAATGACTGAAGAAGAAAAAGGCAGGCTTTTAAATTTGTGTGTGTGTGTGTGCGCACGTGCACGCACGCGGCATTCGGGATTAAGTAACTTGCCTAGGGTCACACAACTAGTAAGTGTCAAGTGTCTGAGGCCAGATTTGAACTCAGGTCCTCTGGACTCCAGGGCTGGTGCTCTATCCACTGAGCCACCTAGCTGCCCCTAGGCTTTTAATTTTTTTAAATGATATTCTATAGCAGATGAGTTCTTTATGGGCAAACAACTGCCCTTGGGCTTACAGATTGTGCTTGAAAAAAAAAAGTGTTTAATTTGGGTCCAGTAAAATGCAATTTTAAAGGCTTTCCTCTAGAAGGGTATCTCCTGTGTGTGTGTTAAAATCACATTAAGATTTCTGAACAGATTAAACAGTAGGTAACTTTGTGACTCTATGACTATTAATATTAATCAATGCATAGAATAGAATGATGTATGCTCACCAACAGTGTTTGCCACTGTCATAGAAGATGTTCAGTGAAGAGAACGTGTGAAAGAAGAGTTTTCTGTAGGGGGCACGTTTGGAACAGGGGTGCCCCTGTTTGAGGCGACATGATAGTGATTGAATAAATGGGTTATTATTTGCAGAATTCAGTATCTTTCACCCCAAACTCTACCCTTTTCCTGATGTCCTTAATCATTGTTGAGTTGTTATGCTTACTTGGTTTTTGAAGCCAATGCAGGGTAATTTTCTTGCTGAAATCTATCACCCTGGAATTGTAATACTGGGCTTAGAAAGTTAACTGGCTTTTCATACAGTGTAACCGTAGTACTTCACTAAATAAGCTCCACAATAGCTTTAGGGTTACATTCAGATATGGCATGTGAAATGATAGAAACTCGTAACAGCTTTGGAAGGGAAAAAACCAGTGAGTCCTAAAGTAGATTGGGAGATAATTCAGTTTTCATAATTTTCTGTATGAAATAGATTATAGAAAAATATATCAATTTATTTTTTAAATGCACTAGAGGAATTAACTATTAATAGAAAACTTAATAAATTCTTTTGTAAAGCATTTGCTCTTTCCCCTAATCTTTGGTCTCTCTAGTTGTATTCTCAGTATTCCTGAAGTAAGGCCTGCCTGTATTTTATTGTATGTTTAGCAGTGAGCTTCTAGCAGTCACAGGTCAGTTTACTGGAAAAATTAATTTTGCTTCTTTGCTGACCCCTGCTGGGAAAAACCGCATTGCCCTTTCTTGGAATGTCATGTATGTGGAATTAGATGCATTATGTAGCAATATATTTAAATAACTTGTATTTCTTCAGTAATTCCAGTACTGTTTAGTATGGAATAATGCCAATGAATTTGGCATTTGGTATTTGAAAAGCACAGTGCTTATATAAGTACATTTGTGTGTAAAATTTGAAAATGTAAGCAAAGGTATCATTAACTTTTTATTTTTTTAATTTGTTGTTCAGTCACTGAGTCATGTCTGACTCTGTGACCTTTTGGACTTTTGTCCATGGGGTTTTCTCGGCAAAGATACTGGAATGGTTTGCCATTTCCTTCTCCAGTGTGCCCCCATTTTATAGATGAGGAATTGAGGCAAATGGGGTTTAGGTGACTTGCCCAAGGTCACACAGCTAATACATGTCAGAAGCCAGATTTGAATGCAAATCTTCCTGACTCCAAGTCTGGTGCTCTACCCACTGAACCACAGGGCTGCTGCATTTTTTTTTCTTTATTAGCATCATGGAATGAATTGTTTTAGGACAAAGAATAGTTTTTCCAATGTCAGTGACTTGAAACATGCGTAACTGCTCTTTAAAATCATCTCAGATCCTAGCCAACTCATACCAAAGAAAGAAACCAGGGGTTCTGTTTTAGGTATACTTGTTTTTAAAAGGTTCAGACTATGACTGTATTTAGGAGTTTTCTTTTTGCCTGATCCCAGACCTGAAAAACTTGTCCTCTCATTTTCAGGATTTTTACCTTGTACAGTAAATCTTTGCCACTTGATCTGGCATGTCGAATATGGGATGTGTTCTGCCGTGATGGTGAAGAGTTTCTTTTCCGTACTGCCCTGGGAATACTCAAACTGTTTGAAGATATTTTGACCAAAATGGATTTTATTCACATAGCCCAGTTCCTTACCAAGTTACCAGAAGATTTGCCTTCAGAAGAGTTCTTTACATCTATTGCTGCAATTCAGATGCAAAGTAGAAACAAAAAGTGGGCTCAGGTAAATAACTCTCTACTATTTTAAAAGTTTCCCTTTAAATATATGACTTCACTAGGCAAAAAATAGAATAATGATTTCAATTTTTATTGTATCTTAAAGTTCATGTATCTCTGTCCTCACAACAACTTTGTGAGGCAGAGTTAAGTATTATTATCATTTTGCAGATGAATAAACTGAAGGGAAGTGATTTTTGCTGTGATTACATAGCATGTTGGTAAACATTTATTAAGCACATACTATGTGCCAGACTGTGTGCTAAGTGTCAGAACTGGAAAATAAACTTAGCTCTTTGGACTCTCAGATCTAGATTCTTTGCACTTTATGCATGCTGTATGATAGAGCAATGTAATTCAATTAATAAGTGAGTTTGAAATCTGTTTTATTTGAAATCTTGGGAGAGAAAATAGTAAAGCTTGTAAGCATACTATCTTTACATGAGGAGTTAGGAAACCTTGGCCGTACTCCTTTGGAACTTTGCTCTGCAGTCTTTGACAAGATGCTTAACCTCTATGGGCTTCCATTCCCATGTTAATTCATTTGCTCCTCACCACAATCTTTTGAAATCGATAGTTTCTGTATTATCCCGATTTGACACATGAAGGAATTAGGTGCATGCAATATAAATTGGTTTTCCCAAGGCCAGATGGCTAAAAAGTAGCAGTGCTGGGCCTGGGCAAGTGAGTGTGGGGCTCCAAGTTCATTTTTCGTTCAATAGCAATTTCTACTATGATCCTATTATTCTATTGAATGTTTACCTTTTAAAGAAAAGTGCAGGTTAAATGTACCCATTTGGTATTTAAAACCTGTGACTTGCTTCCCATCTCTAAAAAGGGAAAAAACCTCTGCCCCACCTTTCTTGAAGAGTAGTTGTTAAGGATAAACAAAAGATAATGGTTGTGAAAGTATTTTTCAAAGCACGAAACATTAGACGTGTCAGGAAATTATTAACAAATCCACCCCTTTCTTACAGTGTAGGGCACATCCTAGGCACCTCAATATATGTATTTATTTATTGAATGAATCTTGAATTCTTGGGGTTGTTTGCCCCAGAAATGATAATGATAATCTGCGTTAGTGTTTTAAGATGATTTTCCCAATTTCTTCTGCATAACTGTTTGGCCTGGGAGTTGAATGAAGAGAATAGGTTGTGGACTGTTATGGACAATTGGGAATTGAATGCATCATTTTCAATCAGTCAGTCAGCATTTAAATGCCTACATGTGCCAGGTACTGTGCTAAGTGCTGGGATTACAAAAAGAGACAAAAGATGGATCTTACAATCTAACGTTAGTGTCAGTCTATTGCTAATGTTGATTCTGTTTGAACATTAATACTGATGCCAATTCTAACCCCTCCTTTTCTTTGAGACCCTTTATTTTGGTGTTATGGGTGATTTGGGATAGTGTAAAACAAGAAGTGGCCTGAGCCAGCTGTTTGGTGCTGGACTCCAAGATCTTTGCCATATTAGTCTGAGGCTCTTGGAAATACCACTACCAAGTCCATTTTTGAAATGATATAGAAATAGATCTTAGTAGTTTTTTGTTCCTGTTCATAAAGTCATGATGTTTGCCACCATCACCAGTAATGGTGACATACCTTCTCTACTACGTGTGTTTCCTGGTAAATTTTTTGAAAAGTAAATCCAAATATACACAAAGTTTAGCTCTTTTATACGTGACCCTTAGCACTCAGATTAGGTTATATAAATATTGTGTATACCCTTAATAGGCCCTCTTTGGTAGAGGCTATGTGTGTGTGTCTGTGTGGGGGGGAGTTAGGAAGGCTGTATGGGGTGTAAGAAGCATTGGATGTGGAGGAAGAAGAGCGAGGTTCTCTCAGTTCTGTCATTTACTGTGTGACCTTAGTCAAGGTATATTACTTCTCTATAGCTTAGTTTCCTCATCTGTAAAATAGAAATTGTACTTCCACCACCTATTTCTCAGGGTCATTTCGAAGCAAGTGTAAACTGTAAAGCGCCATACAAGTGTGAGTTGTATCTATTAGTATCAGTGATGTTTGCATCATTTTTTAATTGTTTCTTTAATTCAAAGTAGTTTGAATTGGGAAATCCTAAAAGGTGTTAGTGCTTATGATAGTGCTAGATTTCTTTTTGATAATATGGTCATAAAAACTAAATACTGGCAGAATCAAGATGGTGAAGCAGAACAAGCATTTTTGTCTACCTGGTCTAGCACATTTTTTTTTTTTTTAATGCGCCAGAGTTCTGATAAAGAAAGCCAAGAAAAAAGTCACAATGAGTCATTTTTGCAGCCCTGGTTACTTAGACAGAGAGGTCTCCCAACATTGGGGTTGGCCAGGAGTTTGCAGTGGCAGCTGAAGTGGGAGCATTCCAGCACCCAAGGAAGTTAAGACAGAGCACCAGGGAGGAGAGTGCCAGAGAAGAAAGAGATCCCAGGGGATCTCTGAACCAGCGTTGGATGCAGGAATGGTTGCCATCCGGCAGCTGTGTCTCACATGAGCCAATTCTGGGTCACAGATCCAGGGTGGAGAAAAGTGCTTGTGATAAGGGCCCTAGCTGAGTACTGAACACAGAACAAGTTCTAGAAACATGGCTGTGTGGCAGTCAGTCTAGGAGCAGCGCAACGAGTCAGTTCTAGCCTTTCGCCCAACACATAAGCCTGAAGTGGAATAACCAGGGCAGGAGGGTCCCAGACCAAAGGTGAGCCAGCACTTCAGTTGTTTTGAACCTGCAGATCCTTCCAGTGGCTGATGGGGTTTAGCAGCAATTTATTGAAACTCAGCCGTGCACAAGCCAACAAACCTAACCTTGAGTCAAAAACTTGCACAGCTCAGATCAAAGGACAAGGAACAGACCTGTCTTTGATTCGTGCCACTTTGGAAGCAGTGAAAACTTGTAGGGTCCCTTCTGAAGTTATGAAAGCAGTTGAAAGACATAGAAGAACAGAAGCTCAGACTGGATATCTCTCTCCCTCCCTTTGCCCTGCCCTAGAAGTGAGCAGAGCCTAACACTAACATACATAGTTAAGAAGTAAACCAGAAGAATGAACGATGAAAAAAAAAGAAAGAAGGAAAACAAAAAACAAAGAACTTGAGCCACTATGGTGATAGGGAAGCTCAGAACACAGAAGGATGTCAGTGACTTGAAAACATCTACACATAAAGCCTCAAAGAAAAATGCAGATTAGACACAAGCCCAGGGGAATACATAAAGTTAAACTATTTATAGTTTTATATGGGAAGATGAAACAAGTAACCCCTCAAACCTTTATCATTACCAGGGCTCTTAGAAAAAGGGTAATTAACCAGAGGGCCTGGGTTTGATTATGTTTGGATGATCTCCAAAGAATAATGGAAGAGTGGGAAGAGGAATGCGTTGGGAGAGACGAGGAGGAGAGGATGGATGTGGAAAATTATTTTACGTAAATTGAGTGCACGACGAAGAGTTTATACAAGGAAGAAAGGCAATGAAAGGAGTGGGCTACACTTGAACCTCTTTTTTGCCTGAACAGGTTCAAGGAGGGAAGAATACGCATATCGACACAATTGGGGAGAGAAATTCATTTTACCCAACCAGAAAGTAGGAGGGAAAGGGGTTAACAGAAAAGGGTTAGGGGAAGAAGAAAAAGGGTAGATGAGGGAAGGCAGTGGTCAGAAGTAAAACAAACTGTTAAAGAAGGGACAGAGTGAAAAAGAGGATAAGTATGTTGGATTAGGATGGAGGCAAGTACACAGTTTGCTATCATAACTCAGAATGTGAAAGGAGGTGGATAGTAGAATGGATTAGAGACTGACCATAATCCAAGAGTGTGCCCTTTACAGGAAACACTCCTGAAACAGAAAGATACCCATGGAGCTAAAATAAGGAGTGTGGAGCAGAACCTTACTGTTCTTAAGTGAAGTCAACTCTCAGACAAAGCAAAAGTAAAAATAGACCTAATTTAAACTGATAAACAAGGAAACTACATTTTACTAGAAGGTGCCATAGACAGTGAATTAGTATCAGTACTGAACATATATACATCAACTAACATAGTATCTAAATGAGTTACAGGAGGAAATAGTAAAACTGTAATAGTGGAAGAACTGAACTTATCCCTCTCAGGCCTAGATCAGTCTAATCATAAAATAAATAAGAAGTTGAGGGGAATGAATGGAAATTTTAGAAAAGTTAGATATGCTAGACTTTTGGAGACTTATTGACTTATTATGGACTTATTGAATGGGAATAGAAAGAGGTATACCTGTTTCTCAACTGTGCATGGTACTTTCACAGAAATTGACCATGTATTAGGCATAAAAGCCTCACAAACAAATGCAGAAAAGCAGAAAAATTAAATGCACTTTTCTGACCATATTATAATAGAAGTTACATTTAATAAAGGCCTTTGAAGCATAGATTAAAAATTAATTGGAAACTAAATAAAACCAGTGCAGGCAAAACTAGAAGAAAAGCAGCAAAGTGAGAGAACATTTGCAAGTTTCTCTGATAAAGATCTCATTTCTAAACAATATGTAGAATGGAGTCCAATATACAAGAATCAGAGCCATCCCTCAAATGGTAAAAGGATATGAATTAACATTTTTCAGAGGAAGAAATCAAAACTATCAATATTCAGTCATTTTTCAGTCATGTCTCAACTCTTCATGACCTTATTTGGGGTTTTCTTGGTTGAGATATTAGAGTGGTTTGCCATTTCCTTCTCTAGTTCATTTTACGAATGAGAAAACAGGCAAACAAGGTTAAGTGACTTGCCCAGGGTCACATAGCTAGTCAGTGTCTGAGGCCAGATTTGAACTCAGGAAGATGAGTTTTCCTGATACCAGTCCAGCACTCTATCCACTGCTCCACCTATTTAAAAAAACAGTCTAAATCATTCATAATGAGAAAAATGCATATTAAAACAACTCTGACATACCCTATCACACCCCTCAGATTGGCTAAAATGACAAAAACAGAAGATGACAAATTATGGAAGGGCTGTGGGAAAATAGGTACTTCAGTTCACTATTGGTGGATTTGGAAATTAGTCCAGCCATTCTGGAGAGCATTTGGAACCATGCCCATAAAAGTATTAAAATGTGTATACCCTTTGATGCAGACAATACCACTATACCCCAGAGAGATCAAAGACAAAGGAAAAAAGACTCGAATGTAAAATACTTAGAGCATCTCTTTTTGTGGTGGCAAAGAATTGGAAACTGGGGGGATGCCCATCAACTGGGGAATAGTTATGATTGGGAATATTATTGTCATAAGAAGTGATGAAGGGATCGTTTCAGTAAAACATGGAAAGACTTACATGAACTGAGACAAAGTGAAGTGAGAACCAGGAGAACAATTTATATAGAACCAGCAGTATTGTAAAGATAATCAACTTTTAGGAACTTAGGAATTCTGGTCAGCACAACGACTAATCACAGTTCCAAAGAACTCATGATGAAATATGCCATTTAACTCCAGGTAGAGAGCTGATAGATTAAGAATGCAGACTGAAACATATTTTCTTTTTTTCTTTTTGGACATGGCTAATGTAGAAATTTGTTTTTCATTACTCTGATATTTGTAATGGGTTTTGTATGGCTTGTTTGTTTTTTCCTCTTATTAATATAAAAATCATGTTACTTTGGGACAAGAGGTTGAAATTATTTGCTAAAATGAATTCTAAAGATTATATATGGATTTCATTGATATATATCATCCTAATTCAGGGACAGATACTATACTCACCTCAGCTATTAGCAGAAAATTGTTACAGAGTTGTAGATACCATATGTTCTTATAGGCTTTATTTATTTGGGTCTGATGAGGTAATTTGCATAAAACCATTTGGCAATTATAAAGCTCTCTATACCTGTCAGCCATCAGTACCATTATTTCTCAGCATCTTTCAGGTTAAAACTTGAGAAGTTTTTGAGGTGGCAAGTTTTCTTACTTGAATTGTTTAATTGTTCTGGGTCCTGTAGCAAGCCCTGTAAAATCCACTGTGAAACTGTAACCCCTTTTGTAACCGCCTTGACTGTCATGTCTTTCGTGTAACTGCTTGTAGGTATATGCATATGCTAGGCAGCCTTTGGTTAATTGTCTCCCATCTGATTTCTAGGTACTGCTTGCATTGCAGAAAGACAACCGGGACATGGAAAGGGGAAGCCCTTCCCTCAGACACTGACACTTCAGATGTATCCAGGTGGCAAATGTCTTGCTTTCAAATGAATACAGGCATCCGAGAAACATCAAGTTTATTATTTTCAGGTTTTGTTTATAGTACTGGAGTTGGCCTTAAAAACTCATTCCCACACATATCTTTTCAAGAGTAAACCAAGGCTTAGCCTTAAGAAGCTCAGTGGCATGATGGCCCAGTGTGATTGTACACAGCCCTCACACTCTGTGCACAATTTTGAATAAGGGCAATGACTAAGTTTTTCCTTTCATTTTCCATACAAGTTAATTAAATCTTAGCAAGTCAATATGAAATGCTGGAAAGTACTTCATACACTCTTGTTGTAGCCAAAATGCTTAAGAAATGTGATTTTGAAGATCTCTTAATCTGTGACACCAGTTCATGTTTGCATATTTTCATTAAGGAAGGTATTAATCTCATTAGCTGTTTTTTTTTTCCAAAACTCTGGGTCATGTTTTTAAAACACATTTACCAAAGATAACATTCAGTGATAATGGGATTGTGTATTGATACAACCAAAAGATCTACACATTATTGGGCAAGAGACCTGTTGCTTGTTTTAAAGTTTTACCAAGTTGCCTTTATAAAGTTTCTTAGCATATGTGTTTGTTTGAAGTGACACATTTAATATCCAAAGAGTACCAAGTTCTCCCAGATGAGGAGAACTGTTCCCCTGCTCTATTGGCAATCATACCAAGAGGAAATAAAAACTTGGTAGACAGAAGAACATAAACAGCCTTTATTTGTTGAAAGAAACATAAGAAACACAACCATATGAGATATCTGTACAATATTCATACAATATCTGTATGAATGCAAGCTATGTGACAGACACACTCAGAAACAAACAAAAAGAAAACCCCACAACAGTGGGTCATGCATGAGGGAAAGGCCACTTCTTTCCCTGACTTAATCAGCTGAATGTCAGAATAAATCATAAGTGCCCATGATTACCTCAATGTATGGCGTCATGCGCTTTAGAAATTGTCATCATCACAGAAGAATGAATCAATGTATATCTAATAGCTCTGAACTAGGATATAAGAATCCTTTATGTCTGTGGTTACCTTCAGACAGTTTTCCTAGTAATGTAATTAAGAACTTCAGTTATTCCACTTGTATAAAACAGGATTTTTTTTTTTTGGACAAAAGTTTTATAAATGGGTGATAATCCCTTTGTGAATCCATGACTTTCCCCCTCTCTCCCACACAATGCCCAGTGATCCATCAACTTCTTGGTTTCTTAGAGTGCTGTTTTGACCAGTTCAGAGCATATTGTGGTCGCTTGACCTTCTCGTAAGTGCTTGAGTATTATCATACCACACAAGAAAAAGGAAGTTTACTCTTATTTACACTTCTCACTCCCAATTTCATATTTCTCTTAAGTAGATTGTTGCTGTTGGTGGGTGATCTCTTTGAGTATATCAGAAGTCTTAGGCCTATCCAAACCTGACTATGGGGTTATTTCCATAGTTTTCCCAAATCTGCTGCTTCTTTTTTTTGATCAGCCTAGATGCAATAGACAACTAAAAGGTCAATAGATCTTCAGGTGAAGGTATCTGCTTCTGAAGTCATAGTATGCCTAACATCGAATACTTGCACTATGTGTGGTTTGTTACCTTTTTGGAATGAACTTTTTTAGATATGTGTTCAGCTATAAAATGCTGACTCTTTCCTCCAGTGAGATTTGTAATGTGCTGTTGATGTCACTTTTTGCCTCAGCCTTTAAAAAGATGACTTGCCTATTTTTAATTTTAATTTTTTTGAGAAGGCATTCTTTTTCCACTGGATGCCCTACCAACCTTTCTAGCCCCTAACCCCTGCAGATGCCCATTTCCTAAAATCAAGATGTTGAATGTAACACAGACTGAAAGTGGCATGGTTGTGACCAAGGGCCTTGCCACAGCACTTGTGCACTGTTAATTACCCACAGGTGTAATTATTTTTGTTCAATGACTTAGGATTTCTGATCTCTGAGGATGTATATATTTTCTATCTTTTCTTGGTGTACATAAATATTTGTTAAGTAATGAAGAAAAGTGATGCAATAATGAGCTTTGGACAGTTGGTGAAATTTTTCACCTGTCTAAAAATTCAGCTGTTTAACTTTTTTCATTAGACTAATTTGGAAAAAATACTCCTTTGGATAGAATTATTGATGCATGTGAAATTGGCTTAGGAGTCTTTGACACCCTGTGATTGGACCCAGTCTCAAGTTCTGAAGAATAGTTTTCATAACCAATTCAGGGATCACCTAAGATTTTGCCAACTTAATTTTTACTGTTCAAGTGTTGGGAGGTTTAAACTTGTAAGGCAGATGGACTTGCCCTCTTTTCAGTAGATGTTCCCATCCAAAGGAACCAGGCTTTTCCTTAAGAATAACTGGAAAACAAATATTGAAATGCTGCAACATTTCAGAAGTCTGCATTTTTCACTTTATGTGCTACTCAATTCCAGAATCTAAGACGTCACATGTTTGGGATTTTGTGCAACCTGCACTTTATAGTAGAGAACAAACTTGGCATCTTCAATCACTAGTGAGAATGTCTTACTTAGTTTTAAAAGAAAGTTCATTTTAAAGGTACTTTATAACTGCTTATATTTTTCAATGTCTTAAATAATTCAAATTGCTTATAGATAACTCTTGATACACTTACTACATACCATGTTTTGATTGCTTGTACAGTTCTCCATTTTTGTTTAGGTGAGTGTATCAAACTTTTTGGACTGTAAATACGTGGTTTTATTAAATAAAAGTCATGTAAAATTGCTTTATGTCCATTGTTCGTATACTTTAGCTGAAAGATTACATTCTTATCTTCTAGATTAGAAATAACTTACTGTATTTTGTCTGAATTTTTAATAGGTTTTATTACAAAGGTAGTTAAGGACTTTCTTTTCAAGGGTACAGGCAAATATTTCCCAGTATTTGGAGAAAACTAAACTGATTTTAAGGGGATATCTGTATTGCTACATTAGTTTGAGACCCCTCCCCCCTTAAAATGAGATCTCTCTGAAAGGAAGGAAAATATAACTATATGCCATACGCATATATGCTATATGCTATAGAAAGAACATATGCAATAAGGTTTTATAGAAAACATGAGATTTAGAGTTAAAATGGAGTATATATTGATTCTAATATGGACATTTCACAAGTATTTTGCACCATTCCCAACTCCCAAAAGGAGGAGAGCCCTACTAAATCTACTCATCTAAAGGGCCTATATTATTTATATTTATGTATTGTGTATATATATATATATACACACACACACACACACACACACACACATATATATATATATATATATATATATATATATACACATATCTTTAAAAGCCAGTTCTGCTCTTTTCTTATCTGTGTAACTGTGGGGAAATTGTTGAACTTCTCTGGGCTCATTTTCTACATTCTGCAAATGAAGGGTTGAACTAAATGCTAAAGTCTTTTCCAACTGTCATATGATCATTTATCACTCACTTGTTCCAGGACAGATTTACTTTCCTTCCTCTAATATTAGGGCCCCTATCACTATGGAACTCAGGAGTATGAATTTCCAGGAATCTCTCTCTGCTGATTGGGGGAGCTTGGCATTTAACATAAATGCTATTCAGAGACCTGATCCCTTGGAAGTTTTCTAAGTGGGAGGGACCCTGCTTTCTCACTTTGGACCATGTTTAGATAGGAAGAGGTAATATTTATACAAGTTTAGTTCCCATGACAGTCTGTGGAAAACTGATGCACAAAAGGTTCAAACTTAATGACTAGATACAAAACTGTCTTTAGAGATGTTACTGTACCTAAAAGGTGTGCTCCACTAATTTTTTGTTCCTTAAAATCTTGGAAAATTAGAACTTGACAAAACCTCAGAACATCTACTCTAGACTCTCTTTTTACATATTTTAAATTATCTTTTTTCCCTTTTATTTCTAAATATATCCCCCCACCCACCTCTACTCAGCCAGCCATCCCATGTAGCAAATTAAAAAAGGAAAAAAATAGCTAAAGAAGGATAACACATCGACCCAGTTATAGTATGTGTAGTATTCCACACTTGTAGTCTGTCTTCCACTTCTTACCATAAAGTTTCCTTTTTTTCCCCATTTATAGTGTTGCTGTCATGTGCTGTGCCCCTGATTTTGTGGATTTCAGTACCATGCCTCATCTGTAGTCTTACCCTGAAACATTCATCCCTCTCTCTACAGCCTTCTTACCCCGGAACATCCCTCTGCTGAGCCAGTTCCCTTTCTCCTAGTGAGTTCTCTCTGGGGCCTCCCTTTTTGGGAGAGGCTCAGGCTAGCCTTCTCTTCATTTGTCTCCCTAATTTTCCAGACTTTAACACCATGCCCCTGCACCAGGGACTGTCACCCTCTCTCTTCCACTGCCTTAGAAACAGACCTTTCATCATAACATCTATGTGTCAATATATTACTGAATGGAATTTAAATGTTAAAATATTCAAACCAAGGTGAGGGTAAATGAACTTTAATAAATCTGGACAGAGAAATCACACACCAGCAGCACTTGTGACTGTTGGACAAGCTCAGTAAATCAAATTACTAAAGACAATTGAGACATTCCATTTTTGCCTCTTAATATCTAATGCATTAGTGTTTTTTGTTTTATTTTCAATTGAAGTTAGTGTTTTATATTTTCATACCTCTTGTCTGGACTCTGGGTTCACTCATGCCCTTGAGCAGTGCTACCTAAACCCCACTTACAGGCTAATAATAATGTATAGGGTATTTTTTACTTCCAATTCTGTATCATAACAGTACATACACTGTAGAGTTTTGTCACAGAATTTCATAACAACAACCTTACATTCATTTATAAATCTTAAAAATTTCCCTCTTGCGTGAGCAACATTAATTCTCTACATAATATCCTGGTCAAGATATCTAAACACCTTAAAAATCTAGGCTTTGGCACATAGCCAGGTTCATCAGATACCTCTGTTACCTTAACTACCGGTTCTTTTACCCTTCAACAGTCTCTACTTGTTAACGGGGGTGGGGGGAAAATGTGTGGATTAAAATAGTTTATTATTGCCTATATGTATACAATTCTTTACTATTAGGAGTTTTCACATTTATTACTTTACCTGACATTAAGCCCTAGAGAATCCTGCCCCTGATACTTTATACCTGTGACTTTTGGTAAGTCACAAACTCCCTGGACCTCAGTTTCCTCATTCATTAAATGCAGTGAACATCTATGATCTTTCTGACTTTTTACTGGCTGGCCCCCATGCCTAAAATGCTTTCCTGACTTGTCCATCTCCTGGGCTCCTTCAAATCCCACCTTCTTCAAGAGGCAACCCCCCCCCCCCCACTTCCCCACCCCCTGCTTTCCTTCTGAGCTTACCTCCAGTTTATCTGGTATATATTTTTTCTGTACACACTTGTATATTCTCTCCCATCAGAATGTCAGCTTCTTGAGGGAAAGAACTGCTTTTACTCTTTGTATTCCTAGCACTTAGCACACAGTGCCTGGTGGACAGTAAGAGTTCAATAAGTTAACTGACTGAGGTCAAAGAGTTTGATCCCCATTTTGTAGATGTCAGTCAGAGGAACTCAAGGAGATGAGTTAGGGTTGAATTTAGACCTGGCCCAATGCTCTATCTACTACATTGTCCTTCCTGATAGCTAAGTACAACTGTTAATTAAAAATCAACTTAAAACGCATGTCCTCATACTTTTGCATTTTCTCCATAAATGGACAGCCTCATTACCATGTACCACCTGCTGCAGAGGAGGTCACTCATAGTATTCTGCACTGTGTGCCAATCCACTTGCTTGAATGTATCTTGATACCTTGAGGCACAAAGAAAAACATTTGCAAATGAATGGCTTCCATGAAAGGCTTTCACTTTTCAGGTCCAGGTGAAGCTGGAAAGAAGAAAATGGGACTATGGGTGGGAAGCAATGGAAAGTAAGCTACCAGTGAAATGAACTATTGAGCTTTGTATTAATAAAATGAGGACGGTGCATCAACGGCATGATTACAAAATATTTTTAAGGCATGGATGGAAAGTCATTAGATGTTTCAGTTCATCTTTATTACCTCCAAATAGAACATAAGAAAGTTATAACACCAAGAGGGTGCTTCTGATATTATAAAAAGGAGTGTTCAAAAAAAATTGCAAGACCAAAAAAGTCTGATTTTTGAAGTAGAATTTTCCAAACCTCTATTTTGATATAATCCATGACATGGTCACGAGTGGGGAACCCATCCCATGACATCTCCAGTTCCCCCAGAGAAGGTCTAAGACCTAAATTCAATCTCATTGATTCTAGATTGCTTATAACATGCATCTGGTAATGTAATATAGAGAATGGGTGCAGAAGGTTTTACTTAAAGCAGAATATATTTATCCATTAAACTATGCCTCTTCTTGCTCATCTTTTCTATTGTAAATAACCTCCTTGATCGAATTGCTTGACAGACCAGTAACTTTTTTTTAGAGAATGCAAGAGAAAAGGAGCCCTAATTTAAGGCTTAGACTAATGCCAGTATTATTTTGAGAAGTAGTCCTGGCCAAGAAGAAAAAGTACATCTGAGAAAAATAAACTAATTTTTCTGCTAATTATTTCCATTTTTTTTGTCTGTAAATTACATTTTATAGACAAGTTAAGTGAATGGCAGATCTAAAATATTTATGAATATTTAAGAGGCATTTTAATGGGCTTAGTTGAGTGACTTGAAAATTTTAGAAAAAATTTAATAATTCACTTTATGCATGGAAGTAAAGTTAGTTTTCTCTATTCTTCTACCCCCTCCCTTGCCTTTTTTCACAGGTGAGGCTTCTGGTCCTCTCTGTGTACTTCATCAAAGTGAAATGAAAATTCTGTAGTGGCTGATGATTTGCAGTGGTGGAATGGTTCAGAACTAAAAGGGTGCTTTGTCCTTTATTTCTACACTTAGCCAAGAGATAATTTTTAGTCAACCACAGTACTTGGCTTCTTTGACTCTGTTTTAAATTTATAAGATGTTCAACCCATTTAAAATAAGTTGTCTCAGCTCAGTGTCATGCTTACTAATCTATTGTAAGCTACATATTTCAATAAATATAGGTGGTTTTTTTTCCCATAACTACCACAGGCATGTTAAAGAATGGCACCCTATTGAAAAATAAGTCCACTAAAGGTTAAGTTCCTTTTGAAAACTGAAAAGGTTTTGCTGAAGATCTGTATCAGTTGTTTCTGATATTCAGGATGGTAGGAATGCTTTGGATTCCTTTATTTTCTGTTTGAGTCCTTTGCAAGAGAGTGTCAGCCCAGCATGCTGGCGCTTAAGTGTTTCTAGCCTCTGGCTGAGCAACTCGGTTTGGTCCACTTTTTGCTCCAGGTCCCGAAGGAGCATCTCTTTGCCCAGCAGTCCACACTTCTGATGTAACTTGACATTATCAACTCGCAGGCTGTCTCTGGCCTTCTTAGCCTTGGTCAAGATGTCCCTCTTCTGGGCCACCTGGGCATCAATATCCATAAGCTCTGACTTGAGGCGCAAATTCCCCAATTCCACAAACTGCAATTTCTCCTTCACGTGGGTGATTATTTGGACGTTGCTGGTGACTTTGTAGTGTAGTTTCAAGAGCTCCTCGTTGCGCTCCTCCACCTTCTCGTTGAAGGTCTGATTCTCGATCTTGAGCTGCTCGAAGTCGATGAGGTGAAGCCCCTCCGTCATCTCCTCCTGCGCCTTCATCCTGGCCTCCAGCAGCATCAGGGACTGCTTCAGCTGCACGTTCTCCAGGCGCGCGGCGCTCATCTCCTTCTCCTTGCGGTCCTCGATGGCCTGGATCTGCTCCACCTCGCGCAGGGCGGCAGGCTTCCCGCCCGGCAGGCAGCTGCCCATGGCCTGCAGCATCACTTGCCTCTTGAGGGCCTGGAAGGCCTTCCACTCCTTCTCCACCTGGGCCACCTTCTCCTGGCAGTGCTGCCGCAGCTGCTCGAGCTCGTGCTGGTACCACTCCACGTCCTCGACGTGCTGCTTCTTGAGCTCCCCCAGCGAGCCCAGGTGGCGCTGGTAGGCCTGCTCCTTCTCGGGGGTGTCCTGCTCCACGGGGGTGGTCTCCGTCACCTCCACGCTGGGCTCGGCGCTCTTCTTCTTGCGCAGGGCCTGGGAGATCTTGTGCTGCAGGTGGATGTTGTACTGGTGGATCCGGTTGCGCTCCGACAGCAGCCCGTGATACTGCTCCATGAGCTCGCTGCGCAGCTGCTGCTCCTGCAGCTTCAGCTCCTCATCGGAGGCCTCCTCGGCCTCCTCCTCCTGCTCGTAGGCGTCCTCGTCCTTGTCGTAGGAGACCAAGAACTCGTCGCTCTCCGTCATGTTCTCGCCCACGGTCCACCTCGCCTCGTCTCTCTCAAGCCAGTCGTCGTGGAGGCCTTCCACCGACTCTGGGACCCCTCCCGCGCCGGTTTCCCCGGCCTCGGCCTCGGAGAAGGCCGGTGGCATCTCCTCCGCCGCCGCCTTTCCTTCATCCTCGTCGGCCTCGCCCTCATTCTCGTCGGCCTTGCCCTCATCTTCGTCGGCCTCGCCCTCATCTTCGTCGGCCTCGTCCTCATCCTCCTCGGCTTCCTCCGCCTCCTCCATGCTTGCTGGTTCAATCTCCGCGGCCTCGCTGCGCTCTCCGCCCTCCGACGGCTCGGCTTTCGAAGCCATTTCCTCCGGCCTCCCGCCCTCCGGGTTCCCGGCCTCGGAGGCATCGGGCACCTCCACGCTCTTTTGCTCCGCAGTTTCCAAAGGAGCCTGGGCCTTTATGGGCGTCTCCTCGGTCAGTTCCATTCCTTCCCTCTACATCCGCACCCCTCTTTCTCACAACCAAACTCAGGGCAGGGGAAATGAGTGAGGGGGAATTGGCTTCTCCTTTTCCGTTTGGTTTCCCGGGGCAACCGGAGGCGCTAGTAGCAGCGACGCAGGCGATTGGCTCTTCTCCTCCTTCGCCCGCCAATGGGAGGTCACTAAGGCGCGGGAGAGTGAGGGAGGGCCGACTGGGAGAGGGCGGGGACAGCGGGGCGGGGCGGGGCGTGACAAAAGAAGCGTCGTCGCCTCACGTCCCACACCTCCCTCCTCCCTCGCTCGGGCATTGGGAGCGACCAGGAGAAGGACGCAGGCGCAGGGAAGAAAAAAGTCGGGAAAGCGGCGGGGGGAGGAGGGAAAAGGGAATGCGCAGACGCAGATGCCAGAACTGTCTCTCCTCTATAAGGGTCGGGGGCGGTAGGAGGTTATTAAAGGGTTTCACGCTTGCGCCGAGCTCTGATTGATGCTAAGCGCCTGCGCGATGCGGAGGAGGGAAGACGGCGGCCTGACGGGGTCTGATGGCGCCTGCGTACTGAGGCGAGACATTCGGCTGGCTGGCTCCGGCGGCTCTTGGGCCTTGGCTGTAGCAGCAGCGGTGGCGGCTCCGGCAGCCGCGGCGGGCGGCGGCGGCGGCGGCGTTTGTTCATCGTACCCGCCCTCGTCCGCCGGGGGAAGTGGCGGCGTTTCGGTCGGCGGCGTCGGCGGGACCGTCGCGGGCGAGCGGGGGAAGATGGCGGAGCTGGGGAAGAAGTACTGTGTGTACTGTCTGGCCGAGGTGAGCCCGCTGCGCTTCCGCTGCACCGAGTGCCAGGACATCGAGCTGTGCCCAGAGTGCTTCTCGGCCGGCGCCGAGATCGGCCACCACCGGCGCTGGCACGGCTATCAGCTGGTGGACGGCGGCCGCTTCACGCTGTGGGGGCCCGAGGCCGAAGGCGGCTGGACCAGCCGGGAGGAGCAGCTGCTGCTCGATGCCATCGAGCAGTTCGGCTTCGGCAACTGGGTGAGCGCCGCGGCCCGGGGGCAGGGACCCAGCTTTCCTCCGCTCCCCGGCACCCTATCACCTTTCCCGGCAGCTTGTCACCTCCCCCACCGCACCTTGTCATCCGTCCTCACCGCACCTTGTCATCGCCCCCTCCACAGCACCCTGTCATCCCCCCTCACCGCACCTTGTCATCGCCCCCTCCGCAGCACCCTGTCATCTCTCCTCCCCAGCACCCTGTCATTCCCCCTCCCCCGCCCCCTGCCCTCCCCCCCCTCCCCACCACCTTTTCATTCCCACATCCCCACCACCTTCTCATCCACTCTGCATCCCTCCCCGGCACCTTGTCACCCTCCTGCATCGCTGTTCCTCCTTAGCATTTTGTCATTCCACCATCCCTCTTAAGCACCTTCTCATCCTCCTCTGCATCCCTTCCTTTCCCCAACACCTTGTCACCCCTCCCCCCATCCTTCCTCCTCCCCAGCACCTTGTCGACCACCGCCCCCCCACATCCCTCCCTCTCCTCAACACCTTCTCATCTCTTCTCCCCCCCAGGACGTTCTCATCCTCCTTCTCCTTCCCAGTACCTTCACACCACACCTCCTGCATCTTGTCATCCCTCCCCCACATCTGCACCTTGTCTCCATCCCCTTTTGTATCCCTCCCCTCCCCAGGACCTTCTCATTCTCGTCTTCCTCCCTAGCACCTTGTCATCCTTCTTTCTCTCCAGTACCTTCTCATCCCCATCTCTCTCTTCAGGACCTTCTCATCCCTCCCCAGGATCTTCTTCCTTTCCCCAGGACCTTTTCATACCCTCCCCCCTTCCTAGCACCTCATGCCCCTCCCCTAGACCTTCTTATCCCCCTCCCCCTTTCTAGTACCTTCTCAATCCCTCCCCTCCCCAGTACCTTCCCATCCCCTCCCTCTCCCTGGAATCTTCTCGTCCTTCTTCCTTCCCAGGACTTACTATCCTTTCTCCTCCTCATGACCTTGCCATCCTCTCACCTCCCCAGGAAGGTCCCCCCTTCCTATCCCTCCTCCTCCCCAGGACCTTTTCATTCATTCTCCCTAGGACCTTTTACCCCAACTTCTACCTCCTTTTCATCTTCTTGACCTCCGGACCCCAGAGGTCACCTAGTCTACTTGTACCTGAACAAGAATCTCTGACAGAATATCCTGGAACTGAAGCCCCTGTGGGAAGAGCCCTGGTGTTGAAAAACTCACTTCCTCCTGTGGCAGCTCATTTTTACCCAACAGTTTGATTGTGGAGGAGTGTTTTCGTTATATTTAATGAAGATCTTCTCCTATGGCTATGACCCTATTGCTCCTAGTTTTCTTTTTTCCCTCTTTCATGCCACAATCTTTTGTATACTTGAAGATACATATCATTGTATCTTCTCATAGAATTTTTCCCCTTAGATTTAAAAGGGACCTTAGAAATAATTTTCTCTAGTTGAGCCCACTTCTTCTTCTTCTACATGTGGCCTCTAGAAGAGAAATGAGGTGCTTAAGGCCACACAGGTAGTATGTGGCAGAGCCTAAGTTCAAACCCAGATCCCTCTGACTCCAAAATCCAGTGCTTTTTCAGTCCTACCATATTCTTAATTTCTTCCTGAGAGGCAGGAGGGATGGAATGCTGTCAGGGCACTGAGTTGCCGAGGTAGAATATTTATTTGCCTTGATAAGTCCCATTTTCTGCACTTCAACAAAAGGAAACAGTATTCAGCCAGATAATTTAACAGAGTGTATCACTGGTAAATTAACTCTTTCTTGTTTAATGAAGCAAACCATGTTCATAGGAATTGGGGAGGATTTTAGAAGAGAAAAGGGGCTTTGGAGGTCATCTAGTCTAAACTCACCCCCGAAGCAACTGTCTTCTCTCCATCCTTCCTGACAAAGTCAGGAACAGCTTCTTGTACTGTTGAACATCTCCAGGGACAGAGAGCCAGTTATTTCATGGGCACCTTGATCTAGTCAACAGAAAATTTGAACTGAGAGAATCTTATTCATAAAATACTTTGTGTTTCAGTCCTCTGCATTTCAAAATACCACTGATACGTTTTTTTTTCATTTTTGCTTTTTTGGTGAGGCAGTTGGGGTTAAGTGACTTGCCCAGGGTCACACAGCTAGTTCAGTGTCAAGAGTCTGAGGTCGGGTTTGAACTTGGGTCCTCCTGACTCCAAGGCTGGAGCTCTATCAACTGCGCCACCTAGCTGTCCCTGATATCTTTTATCTTTATCTCCAGAACATCACTTTCCATGGAGAGTGGCCTGTGATAGAAACAACAGTAGGATACATTTTTGAATTATAGATTGCAATTGAGAAATGCTTCAACTCACTTGAGTAAATATTTATTAACTGCCTAGCCTTTTGCTAAGTACTAACAATACAAAGGTTGACAAATTCTAGGAGTCTTATAATTTAATTGCATATTCCTTGACTTAAGAAATTATTGACTCAAGAATGGTCCTTTAGCTCTCAACATAAAAACGTTCCTTTAAAGTCATTTATCAGCAGAGAGAAAGTTATAATTAGGGATACTTCAGAAAATCTTGGTTTAATAACAAGTGTCATTCTTTTCAGTTTACATAGAAGTAGGCCCTTAATTGGTAAGGCCTCCTGCAAAAGACCTACTTATTATTCTCAGCAGAATTCCCTCAGCAAGATGAAGGGTTGTGCCAGTTTGTTATTTCTGCTTCTGTAAGTATGAATGATTCAAATCTGATGTGTAGCTCCCTGTGCAAATTCTGTTAGTCATAATGTTAGCCAGGTTTTGGTCATGGGTGGGAGCACATAAGGGGTTAAGTTCAGCTACTGGTATACCCAATGTGACATCACTTGCTGCTGAAATCACGTCAGAGTTTCATAGGAACACTGTTATAAAAGCTGCTGGGGTCAAAGCATCCTGATTATCAGTGACTGTCTGATTTGTATCTAAGGCACAATCTGTTGAATGATACTACGGTCAGTTTGTGCTAGGCTGCAAATGAGCTCTGATTATATACTGTATTATCAGCATTTTTCTGAGACTTTGCTAGTGCAGGCAGCATAATAGAGGTTATGCCTGTAGTGTTGCAGGTTTTCATTAGGCTCTGTCAGACTGCTACTTTGGGCTTCTGCCTCCAGGAATCATTTTGCCCTTTGCCATTCGTGTTTGGCTCCTCTTAGGTTGCATCTATTCAGAAGTTCCTTTTATATTTAGCATGTAAGTTAAAACCTTTTTGATACTTGTGGTGTTCTCCAAAGTTCTTTTTGCCTCAGATTGGGTTACTTCACACAAAGAATAATAGTCCACACACTTTCAACATTACTAAGCACCTACTATGTACCCAGCTCTGTATGTACTAAGCTTTGGTGATATAAAGACAAAATGAAAGAGTCCTTGTCCCAAAGGAGCATGTTTTATAATTGATGCCAGGCTTCATTGTAGCCTTGAATTTGATTAAAAACAGTAACAAAAACCCCGACACTTATTTTCATTATATGCTGCTTACTATTTTTTCTCGTAGCCAGAAGTAAGGTAGTATAAGCCTGGCAGGTGTGGATAAGCTTCAGGCCATATTTTATAGAATCATTATGTGCAATTCACCAAGCACTTGTTGTTTTGTTTTGTGTGTGAGGTTTTTTTTTTGTGTTGTTGTTAAAATCCTACTATGTGCAAGTATTTGGGAAGGTTCAGAGATGAAAAGTTTACCTTTTAAGTTTATGATCCTAATTGGAGAATAGGACATATAGATATGATACAAAGTAGATTGTGATATAGGCAAAGGAATGGTTTAAATGAAGCATTCTGAGAGAAATATAAAGAGGAATAGCTCTTGGAGGTAGGGAGAAGCTCAGTTAAGATGGGAAGTGCAAAATCTATTTCAGGCATTGGAAGGGGATGACTGAAGGAAAGTAACAGCGAGCCGTTCAGGTGGAATGGGAATAGTTCGAGGGTGGAGCTAGGTTGTAGAAGGCCTTGAATGCTGTAAGGATTCAGACTTTATTTGGTAGGCAGTGCAGA